TTTTGGAAGTGAGTTCATACAATGTGTAGTTTATTTATATATGTTCTTTTTCATTTAACATGCTTTTGAGACACATTGATATTGCTGTATCAGTAGTTACTTCATTTCTATTTCTGAGAAGTATTTCATTGTATGACTATATAGAAGTTTGTTTATCTATTCACTTGTTCATAGGTATTGAGCTATTTCCAGTCTAAAGCTATCACAAAAAAACTGCTAGGAACTTGTTCATACAAATATCTAGGTAGATATGTTATTAACTTTTCTTAATAAATCCTGGGAGTCATACTACTGGTGGATATGAACATAAGTACATGTTCGACACTTTGTGAATCTGCCAAAGTATTTTTCAGAATGATAAGCCTTTTTACATTTCCACTAGAAATGTATAAAGTTCCCATTGCTCTGCATACTCACCAGTACTTGGTATTGTTACTTTTTTTATTTTAGCCACTTTTAATGTATCTGTAATGTTTTTCTTGTAAGGTTTTTTTTTTATTTCCTTAACAATTTATTGTTCTGAACATCTTTTAATTTACTGGCCATCATCCACAGATCTCGTTTGTGAAAGTGTCTGTTGAAATCTTTTACCCTTATTTAATTGGGTTATCTCTTTATTTTGTTAGGTGAAAGAATTATTTATCTATTCTTGTTTCAAGTCCTTCGATGGCTGTCTTACAGTCTCTGGCTTACATTTTCATTTTATAAACACTATCTATTGAAGAACAAAATGTTAAATCTTTGATGAAATCCAATTTAACAGTTTTTTCTTTTATAATCTGCAGTTTTTGGTTTCTAGTTAAGAAATCTTTGCCTAATTCAAAATCCTATGTTTTCTTCAAGAAGTTTCATGGTTTAGTGCTTTCATTTAGATCTGTCATCCAAGTTAATTTTGCATACAATGTTAGGTAAGAGCTTTTTTTTGCATATGGATATCCAATTGTCCCAGCATCATTTGTTGAAAAAAACTATCCTTTCTACATTGAATTAATTGCTTCTACATCCTTTCTGAAAGTCAGTTGGCCACATGATGTGGGGTGAATCTCTGTAATTCTTTTTCTGTTCTATTTATCTATATCTATCCTTACATCAATACTAGACAATCTTGATTACTGTAGCTTTACCATTAGTCCAGAAATCAGGTACAAAGACCTATAATTTTGTTTTTCTTTTCCCAAATACTTTTAGCTATGTAGGCACTTTATATTTGGAAGCTTCTTCTGTCTTTCAGTTTATTCACTTTAACGATCACGTCATTGTCCAAGGTGCCTGCTGAGCTCCAGCCACCATGCCATGCTCTAGGCCATCCATAATAGAAGTGGTGAACAGCAAAAATACTCCTTCCCTCAGAGGTCTGTCTCTTTTATGAGAAGCTTTTCTAGAGCTCCTCTCGTCCCACATCTCACTCATCAAATCTTGAACTGGTGGTCCGGTCAGCTATTAGTGCAGTTATGGACTATGGTATTTTGTCTGGACTATGACATCTCCAAGAATGCAGATATTCTGGTAGTAAATTAGGAATTGAAAATGGATATCTAGAACACAATATGAAGAATTGACTTCATTAGCTCTTAAAAATTTGTTGGAAGTTTTTTTGGAATCTGGTGTGTGACCAATATTTGTAAGTATTTTATATACAGTTTGAACTCCTTGTTGGGTCCTGGCTTCTCCCTATATACACCTTTTTTTTTTATCAAAACCACTGTTTGAATCTACTGAATCTATGGTAGCTTATGTTGTATTTGATGCATCAGGTGTGTATATAGAGATGTGTTAAATTTTCCAAATGACTGAGTATTTGCCAATTCCTTCTTGTTTTGTTATTTTACCATAAATACTTTGACATTTTTTTATGGTTGTTATAACTTAATGGATTTGTTTCTTTATAGGTAGAGTGTTCCTCTTCGTTCTTCTTAATGCTTTTTACATTCAAATCTCTTTTTCAGGGTGCTAATACTGTTACATTAACTTTTGTGTTTTATTTTTCACCCATTTCCATTAAGCCTTCCTATGTGGCTTTGGTTTATGCTTCTTATAATGACACAGCTTTTTGAAGTCTTCTCTGATAATCCTAATCTTTCAATAGTTAAGTTTTATTTATTACTTTTATTATGATCCCTGATATATGTGAACTTATAAATCTATATTCTTGTTAACCACTCTTTCTTTGTGTTTCTGTGTCTCTTTCCTACTTTCTGCTTGATTGAGAAAGAATTTACATTCCATCTTTCTTCTCTATTTGTGTAGAAATTGGAGATAAAATTTCTGTAATCTCTCTAACATGCCCTAATCTCAAAAGATGGCAAGGATTTTACCATGGATTCCCTAAAATTAAACATACCATCTTCATCATTAAGCTATTGTAGTTTAACATTTTGTTATTAATGTTTAATTGCACATTTTGAAATTATTATTGATTTTCAGTCACTATTTACTTAAATTAATTTTTCATCATTTTATGCACTCATCATTATTTTCTTGTTTGGTTTCTTCTTTAGTCTACATGAATAAATCGTTGATTATTTTAGTGAGGGTGTCTAAGCTGAAAAAATGCCTCCCTGAAAGAGAGGCATTTACAGTTGTTGATTGTCCATTATTTTGAAAGGATTTTTATCAAAATTAAAAATTCTAAGTCAACATCTATTTTTCCTCAATGTACTAATATGATTATTGCATTGTCTTCTACACTCTGTCGTGTGGCTGACATTCTCCTTGTATTTTAGCAGTCATTTTTTAGTTAATAAGCCTGTTTTCTTGCCAAAATGTCTTTTTCCAACTATTGAATTATGAAAATTTTAAGGCTACTGAAAACTTGGGAAATTTTTACACTAAACAAAGATTCACAATTAACATGTACTATTTTTGCTTTGTCACATTTCTGTCCATCTATCCATTTCCCCACCCATCCACTAACCATCCTCAAGTCTGAAACATTTTCAAGTTGCAGACAATAGAACGCTTCCTTCCGAACACTTTAGTGTGCATATTATTAACTAGACTTCAGTATCTGTATTTATTTTCTTTGTCTTCTGAGATAAGATTTACAATGAGTTGTGTATTAAGTATATCATTCTATTGATTCTGTTTAAGTTACTTACCTGTAAAACCCAAATCTTTATCAAGAGACGGAATGTGACCATCACCCTGGAACTTAAAAAACCCTCCTCTGAGGAGAGAAGGGAAACTTTATTATCCTGGGATATTTCTAAGGAGGGCGATATTCTCTGTTTTATACTGGTCAGGAAACAAATTTGCCTTCTGACCTGGAGGGCTACATTACCTCTGGCTTCTAAAACCGTTTGCTCTTCACACATCCTTGAAAAGATACTCTGGGGCATGTGGCAACCCATGGAGAGTTGCCTCCCAACAAACTGACCGTGCACAGCAGATCCTGGCAGTCTCCCCATGAGGACAGCACTCTACCAACCGTGACGATTACTGGGACCACTGGAGGCTAGGACCAAATTCATTCCATTGGTCTCCTTCAGTATTTAACAAATTTCCTAAACCATAATTGTTTGAAGCCTTCCATGATTACCCGTACAGTGCAAGTCACCACGTCTGCAGGAGAGGCAAGTGAAGGCTTGGCTTTCACACAAGAGGTACAATCCCAAGGACACACACGGTGGCCCTGAAAGAGAGGCATTTACAGTTGTTGAGGTTCCTAGGGGGAATGTAGCAGCCAGGGTTTGGAAAGGTCTGTTCATTGCTGATGGGGTTGGGAAAGAGGTGGGGACAGGACAGTCTCTCCAATCTGACCTCTTTGGCCATGATGTTCAGATGGCATTTGGTCCCTGCACCTGTACCCAACCACTGAACAACTGAGATTTAGTGTGGGGACATTGTCCAGAGACACTCTGCATGGGATTTCAGATGCTGGCACTAGCCTCTGTTTCTTCATATCTGATGCTGAGTGGCAGACTCAGCATCCAAGTGTTGGAAGACCTGGACCCAGTGGTTTCCTTCTGGAAGAAGGACTCAGGGCAGCTGTGGAAGACAGATATCATTAATGCCTCTCTACCTCCATACCTCCTAGGTGTTTCCTCCTCCGGTGCCTGGATCTTTGCTCTTCTTTTACTGCCACAAAACCTTTGTACCGTTCCACTGGCTGAAACTTTCTGGGACCCTGAAGGAGGTGCCCTCCAGGGTGGTTGGGGAAAGAATGAGGAGTCATTGCCATCAAGGGTCAGAACCAAATCCAGAATTTTCAGAGTTTGTCTCTATAACGCCATTGATCCCCCACCACTTTTGTCCCGATCACAATGCAGAAAGAAGCTGGTCACTTTCTGCCTTCCTTGGGGACAGCTGCCTTCAGTGACAAAGAATCTTAATAGAGGAGAAGTGTGTGCACTTAGATGATCAGAGCATTGAATGTAGCTTCTGAAAAAGCGCACATCATTGTCAGACAGCAAATGGTCCAGCCAGTCATGCAATTTGAGGATTGTTTTAGAGCTTCCTGAGCTCCCCTTTCAACTTTGGAGAAGGCTGATGTGGGGGAGAAGTGAGGCAAAGCAGTGAACACAAACAGCAGGCAGACACCATCTCCATCAGGTCACACCATCACTGTCCCCTCTGCTCCTGAGTCAGAGCTCACACAGGAAGAGGCAGGTAGTCTCAAACTTTGTCTCCAGCGACCTAAGTGCAGGGAAATAGCCCAGCTGCAGAGCTCCCTTCTACCAGGGCAGCAGATGCATGTGTCACTGCCCCATAAGAATCAGGGGACTGAGTGCATGAGGAGCTAAGACAGTTGTGCTGACGCCTGGTGTCTCTGCTTGCTAAAGCATGCTGGTTGTGGGGGCATTGAGAGATATAATGAAGGTAGACATTCTGCCATTAAGTATCAAAAATTCCACTGAAAGAAAGGCTCTGAAACTCTGGAGATTTGTGGAATAAAGTTGTTCAAGTACCCCTGTGACTTTATAGAAATGACCTCAACACGGGAGAAAGTTGTACATGTGTGGTTGTGAAATGAGACCGAATGAAAAAATCTTCTCTTCCAGAGTCAGGAAAGCACAAAGAAGACAATGTGGATATGGAGGCTGAAATACTTCCTGTGATATGTGGGGAGATGAGGGGGCTGTTAATTAAGAGGAAATTTGAACAAGGTAAGTTCCAAGGTTTACTTTAAGTTGCAACCCTATAAAGGAACCACATTAAGTGATAGAATTACCCATGTGAATTTCCCGTCATTCAAGGAACTGAGGCCCCACTGTGGCTTGAAAGAAAAAAGGAAGGGATCCCTAAGATAATATTTTACACTGTAAGCAGTGGTGCATAGTAAGTACTCACCCCCATGTGCAAGTGCCCATGAGGATGCCCCAAGAACCAAAGAGAAGTGCAAGATTGTCAGTCTCTGGGTGGAAAATACTGTACTTTTTATTTTACTTTGAATCAGATATAACAGGGAAGAGGCCCTCAGCCTCCACGTTCACATCCTGTATCCCATCTGGGTAATCACCACCAGGACAGGGTGTTAGATATAGTGAGGAGACCACAGAGTTTAGAGTCAGGAAACCTGATCCCAGCCTCAGCTCTGCTGAGAGTGACAGTGTGAAGACTGGGACCTTCCTGAGGCTGAAATGTCCCTTCTAAGAAATGGATAATAATGTCCTGCCTCCTGGTGTGACTTTGAGAATGAATTTATACATGAATATAAAATATTTTGTGATTTTAACATTATAAAGCTTTTCTATAATGTTCCATTATGTTGAACTTCCTATCAGATTATTCTTAATATGGCCATGTGAAACATTAGTATAAATAAATATTTGCAGCATAACTATTCTTTAAAACAGCTTCCCTGAGATATAACTCATATATAGACAATTCACCACTTAAATTGTAGAATTCACTGTTGAGCATTTGTCGGTTTTGTTCTTTCACAACATTATAAAACCATCATCACAATCTGATTTTAGAACATTTTGTCCCCACTAAAGGAAACCCCATATGACTTAGCTGTCAGTGCCCATTCCCACCCCAGCTCTTCACCCACCCTAAGCAATGAACAATCTGTGTTCTGATCTATAAATTGGTCTAATTTAAGCATTTCCTATTAACTGACTCATACAACATGTGCCTTTCTGTGATGGTTCTTTCACTCAGCATGAAGTACTCAAGGTTACATGTCGTACCGTGTATTATACTTCATTCTTTTTCATTGTCACATAATATGCTAGTCCATGGTATGGATATACAATATTGCATTTACCTACCAGTTTGATTTTCTCATTTTTTAGCTATCATGAATAATGTTGTTTTGTGTAAATTTTTTTAGTGAACATACTTTTATAATTTTTTTTGGTATATACTCTGGAGTGGAATTGCAGGATTATATGGTAATTCTATGTTTAATTTATAGAGGAAAACCCAGACTGTATTCTACAGTATTGCACCAGTTTATATTCCCACCAGGAAAATCTGAGGGCTCCAATTTCTTTGCGTTCTCAGCAACACTGTGATTGTCTGTCTGTTTTATTATGGCCATCTTAGGGGTATGATGTAATTTTTATTTCTTTTTCTCTAATGAATAATGTTGCTAAATGTATGACTACCTTTTACATATAAGTTAAAATTTCCTCTGATTAATATTTCACAATTATTTTAATGTCAGCTACCCATAATTTCAGGATGGAGAAACATCTGCTCAATATAACGCCATTAAACTCAGAGAAAATTGCTTAGAGCCATTGTGAATGACAGGGCCCGCACTTGAGATTTTATTCAAAGCAGGACATTTCTTTGGAGGGGATTTTCAGGCTGGGTTTGGGCATTCTGAAATATGGAAGGGGAGGCCAGACTCTCCTGCTATTGATCTTGAACCCAGATTGGGTGACATCAGATCCAAAGTGGTGGGAGGCTAACCTCTGAGCTCTGAGGACAAAGAGGGGTCAGGATCAATGTACCCTGGTCTTACAGGAGCCACAAGGAAGTGCATAAGAACTGCAGATGGAAACTGGCTCACCCCCAGGGAATTTGAAGTCAGAGGAGGCTACGAAAAAGCAAGTAACTGGAAGACCAGCCTGACGTGCGGTGGAAAAACCCTAAAACGGCTGATGGAGGTATTTCAGTGACAGGGGCAGGAGGTGTGACTTCCTTTGTTGTGGTCAAAGATGAGGCCGCTATGTGTTCACCCAATATATGCTGAGCTGTGGCTAGAGCCCAAAGGCCCCTGCCTGTAACTTTCTCCCAGGAAGAGGTACCCCACACTCACACCTCAGTACAAGACAGCATGTCCGCTTGTCACAGGGGCGCTGTCAGGGTGGCTGCAGGGGCTTGGAGGAGGGAAAGGTCACTCTGACCCAGGTGCTTGCAGACAGCTTTAGGTACTGAAAGAAAGAGGACTGTCTGCAGTCAAACAAGTAGGCAGAACACACTCCAGAGAAAGAGTGGTGTAAACACCAGAAGCACAATTACTGTGATTCTGTGAGTTGAGGTAGATGGATTTTGTGTGATTCAGCATCATCTGTCAATTAGGGCTGTTTGCAGAGGGATTTGATTAATGCCAAACTGAGGAGTTTAAAGTCGTAACATAGACAGTGCAGAACCAGGGAGTCTCCTGAGGTGTGACATGACATATTTAAACAGTATCTCAGACAATGTGGGGCCCTGAAATGACTTCAATGTCTTTCAGCCCAAGAAATCTACAGTCAACCTGCAAGGCTCAGCTCCCATGTCACTCCTGTCTGAATGTTCCCTGACTGACCTGCCCTGGCCACCCCTTCCCTGGGCCCCCTGAACTCACTATTGAGGCCCTTCTGATACTGTTTTATTCTTATCCTTCCATGCATTCTTTTTGTCTCTCTAGACCCCTCTAGGGTTTGTCCATGACTGTGTGTCCAACATTGTCCAGAGTGTGTGACACCCTGCAGGTGTGGGACACGTGTGTGTCAGTTGAATAGGCCTGGTGTGAGGAGGCAGGTGTGAGTGGTGTTGGTGGGAATGGAAAGGAGGGGAGAGGTGTCACAGATTATGAAGGAAGAATCTCTCAAAACTTAGGGGGAAAAAGCACAAAGCAAGGAAACCCATTCTACAGATGCTTTTCTGGGTACTGCTGATGAAGTCTAGAATAAGTATAGGTGAGAAGAGGGAGATGGTTTCTCAGTGAGCTGACAGTGTGATATCTAAGAAGAAATATTAACGAGGATGTTGGAATGCCAGGTTCACAGTACATAAATACAGGCTATCCATACACTCAGATATTTTTATCTTTCAGGAAGACAAAGTACCTACACCTCCAACAACATGTGGCAGGAGCAAAAAGGTGAGTATTACTTTACATAATTTCCTATTACATAACTGATTTTATATATACTGCATTTTTTATGGTTTCTCAATTGTAGGATTATCATTAAGTTTCTTCTACTCCCCTCCCTTGCCTTTTTTTTTATTTTATTCTGTTTCATTTTATTTTATTCATTTATTTTGCATGCCCTCAGAGTTGTTCCACTGAACAGTAGGTTGTGTGCAAGGTTGTCTGTGAACTGTAGACCGTGCAAGATGGGGATGATAAGGAGCCACCAAATAAATCTCATTGCTGAGTTTCAGCTACAGATGCAGATGCGGTCAGGGTGTCAAGCTGTAAAAGCAAACATGACGATGGAATGCATAAAAAGATTTCTTAATAAGGTCCCAGGGTCATCTTCAAGTCCATCCCAGATTTTTTTGATAAAGGTTACTATTTTCTAACTTTAATGAAATCTAATGAAAAAGAAGTTTGCTTCCCATCATCCAGAGGAACCCGTCTAGAAGATAGTCTCTCTTGAGACATACAGGAAACCATATACTACTTCACGAGGGAAACTAAAAATGTATTTCTTTTCTGATTTTTACACATTCATCCTTCAATAAAACATACACACAGGCAAACAAAATTCCTTCTCAAGCAGAAATTATTGGCAAATTTTTCATGAGGATGTTGCTGTTGGGGAGGGAGCTCTTGGGAGGTGGATGTAGCTTAGGTGAGAAGCTGACCTGGAAAATTGTTTATTTTGATGCCACCCCTTTGGCTCCACCTCACGGGCTGAGCAGGCCTCCTTTCTGTCTGTGAAAGTGGTTTCTCCTTCTGCGGAAGAAGGCTATGGAGGCAACAAACACACACATAATATGAGTGCAGATTCCAGACAAAGGGGTAGTTTTTACAACATTGGGTATAAATGAGAACTTGAGAAGGAGGGGAAGGTGTGAGGTGCCATTCTCACACACTTCAGGTAGAAATGGCCACCCAGGACACTCACAGAATTCTACATTAGCTTACACAGAGCTGGCCACTGGGACTTCATCTAACACTGGGAATGTGAGGTCCAGGCCTGGACATTATCTGATGTTCTGGGTCTTTTGAACACCCAGATATTGGGACATTTCTCTTTACTAAACCACAGGGTTTAGTAAACCACAGGGTTTAGTAAAGAGAAATTACTGTTGGACCTAGTCAGTGACTACTTTAAAGTCTCTACCATTCTCCATGGGTATAGAGTTACCTTATCTGGATTACCTGAAAGAGCTAGCAACTTCCAACCCCCAGATTCTATCCTTATCCATGGGTGCAACAGTTTGCATCAACAAGGTTCAATTTCCCATACATTTTGTGTATTTGGTTTTATTGATCAAGAATCAAAGTGACCCCAAGTGGCAGATCTCAGGACACATTACTACCTCAGTGGGTCCTCTGTACCTCTCAGAACTTCTCTTGTTGATGGAGACCCTGGTTTCTGGAAATGTCAGTGTCACTCTTGACACCACATGACAGCTTCTTGTTTCCTGATGAGGGCCACTTATACTTTCTGGCGACAGCTGCTGTTTGTCAAATAATCTGAAATACTGAGATGGAACATTTATTTTTGTACGCTAATATTTGCTAAAAAAATAGCAAGTAATCTCTTTTCCTAAGTGAAACAATACTCATGTATTTACTCATTAAACATACAATTATTGAGTGCATAAGAAATGCTCAATATCCATAAAGAAGATTGAAATAATATCCCTGACCTCAAGGATTGTTTCAACTTCATCATCTACCATGGAAGCATTATTGGAAGCAGAGGATTCTAGGATACCCTAGAGGCAGACAGTGACATGACCATTTCTCAGGTCACTTTCCAGTGGATCACACTAGTCTGTGACCTCTCTGCCCTGGGTGGAGATAAAAGCTGAGGCTGCCTGAAGGAAAGGAGGCCAAGTCATTCTACTGAAGGCACAAAAGCACTGCAAGTGTACTGCACAGTGGCCAGAGTCCTGTGAAAAGTCAGCCAGGTGCCATCTTGGGATTTGGATGAATGGAGAGGAGCGTGACCTTCTGGAAGGAGAATTGGAGTATGGAGGACCTTGGATTCATTTTTATCATTAGGGTGGTGGCTTAGAAGAGCTGCAGGAGGGGTTGGAGTTCTATCTAGGACATTTGCATGGGTCCTGTACAACAGATGGAGACCCAGAGGATCCTGTCATATCACGAACAGCCGGAGGTCCATGGAGAGGCGAAGGCAACTGTTCCGGCAAGAGTACCCTTGCTAATAATAATATTTCTTAGGATAGATATTATAGGCCAATTGAACAATGACATATAATATCCTCAGGCATTAATAACCACACTGTTTCCGTCTAAATCTCAATTTAGACTGTACTGGAATCACCTGAAGACCCTTGAAAAATAATATTGCCCAAATCTAACTCCAGACAAAATTTCTATTTAACCACTCTGAATCATGACTTCTGATCTTTGTGTGTCTTTAATCAAGATATAATACAGACTGTGAGAAACAGACCCCTTTTCTTTATGTATTAAGGTGGAACCATTCATTGGGGTCTCAGCATCCCTGTATGCAGGGGACCCTAAAGGAACAATGGAACTAGCAAAGGAAGCTTAAATTTTACGCTAAGAAGACAGGGGATTGACTGGATTTGAGATATGAACAAGAGTATAGACCCATGATGGATTCTCAGGTTTGCCATGGAAGGTGTACATTTTATGAAATGGAAGCTTCCAGAAAGAACATGTAGTGGGTGTGGGGACAGGAGAATACATTCAGTTTTGACTGCATGAATTTGGGGTGTGATCCAAGGACCCAGGAGGAGGTGCTGGGTAAGAACAGGGATGTGCACAAAGGCAGGAGACAGGCTGGACAGCTGGGAGCTGGAGACACAGCAATGGAACTGCAGCTCTGAGAGTGATTTGACCATCTGGGGCCAACTGAATGGCCAAGATGGAAACCTGAGGGATTCTGTCTAAATGTTGGAGGAGCACAAGGATGGAAAGGGAAAGGGATATAGCACTGAGTCTGAGGAAGTAACCCCAGGAGAAAGATGGCACAGAATGCATGTGTTTGGAAAAGCAGAAGGAGTCACAGTAGACAAGGGTGGATGCTGTCATCCCTGCCTCCTCCTGGTCCTCAACAGCCCACTTCCCTCCACCCAGCACTCATCAATGTGGGGGCCAGTCCCCAAGTACACTTCATTTGTGTCACCTCAGATGGTCACAGGAGGGAAGGAATTTCTCCAATAGACCATGGGATAGATAGGATGTTTCTATCTTTCTGGGAAGAAAAACCTTCAAGTGGTTCTCAAACTGTCTGGATTCTCTAAGAAGACAGAACCAGGAGAGCAACCAGGGGGAGATAGAGTTTCTACAATTTTCTCATTCATATGTAAGTGCTGATTTTCATTTTTTTAAAAAGTGGTTTTCGGTTTTAATCATCATTTCTTCATCCCACTGATGAGGGAGGGATACCCACCAGACTGTTGGGGGGATGGCACGCCATGGCCTCTGTCACTGGAGGATGGATTGACAGGTGTTTATTCACCACACACAACCCAGTCCCAGGAAAGAGGGCAGAGTCCCCTGCAAGCATCACCGAGGTTGCTCTCAGTAACCGAGTGGACAGCCAGGGGACAGGAGGGTGCCAGGGTCCCTGATTTCTGTAGGAGGCTGTGTCTGCTTTGTGTGAAAGATTCCATGACTGGCAGGGAACTGAAACCTGATATTCTAGGATGAGCAAGGTCAGTGGTGGTCCCTTGACGAAGACTGTTATTTAGCTATGAAACCTTATTCAGGGGAGCAAGCTGGGGAGAGGCACGTGCAGATAGGCTGTCCAAGGCCATCTCAGTGTTACCAGGTGTCACAGCAGCACCTGACACTGAGCTTTAACATTAGTCCTTACACTGTGTTTTCTTCACTAACAAAGGGCTCAGTCACAGATCAGTGTTTTTGTTTATAATAAATACACGTGTTTGTATAGAACACAGTGTATCTTCGTATCTGCTCTACAAATTTATTTGGGTTGAATGGGTAGGAGTTCTGCTACAAGACTTGGATGCAAATACTGTCAAATTTTATCTTCTCCAAATAAAATGAAATGTGGTTTTCAGGTCGGAGTCCCTCAAGAAACCAGACGGAAGCAGAGAGCCAGGGAGCAGGGTTTATCAATGGGGAATAAGAGGGAACGTGCAGCCAACCAAGGGAGGTTGGGACTTGCAGGGGAAAGTGGAGAAAGTGGAGCCAGCCATGGGAGGTTAAGACTTGCTTGGTTGTTCTTAGGGCAGAGTTTTTAAGCACAAAAACACGCGAAGGGTAACTGGTTAGGGTTTCAGAGTCTGATTGGCTAGAGCTGACTGCTGGGTGCCGTTTCTGCTGGCCATTGTTCTTGATACATCTTGTCAGGCTCAGGTTAAAGCTGCATCTTGTTACACTGGATAGGCCCACCCCAGACCCCAATCTTCGCTGGGCATCTGTTTGCCCTGGGTAAGGTTAGCAGGCATTTTCCCAGGCAGGCATTTTCCCAGGTTAGTTTCCCATGGTGTACTTTCCTGCCTGGGGATTTTTCCACTCCTTCTAGGCCTACCTAGGTCTGTCAGTAGTTAAAGGCCACATATTGAGACTGGTAACGATCCAGTTTCAGTTGAGTGCATTGGTGGCAGCGGCGGGGGGTGGTTGGTGGGGTACCTCCACATGGTTTATACAACACAGCAATTGCCACACTCCCTGGCCACTCAGAGATGGAGCTTCCACACCTCACATGTGCAGCTGAATCACGGGGCATCTTCCTCGGGATTCCGGATTCAAAGAGCTCCATGTGCCGTGGCACCACTTGGCCATCTGTGCCCATGGTCTTTCCAACCCAAAGGCACCGTTACACAGCCAAGGGCCCTCTAGGCACAGAACCCACAGTCCAGGACCCCTACCAGGCCCTTCAACTCATGGGGAACGTTCAGCCAACAAAACAGTATCAGTGTTTTCTTAGAGGTTTATTCCATCTTATTAATTTCCCAACATACCACCTTTCCATGATTCAGACATTGAAGTGTACGCAAAGGGATTTACCACTTTTTTCAAAACCGTGTCCTATCTGCAGGTTCATAAAATGATTCCTATGAAATCATCTTCTTGTTTCGTTGCTTGCCTTTCTGTGTTGGAATCTCTGGTTTTATAGGAAAAACCACTTTGGTCTGGTCCCACAGGCCCCTCCTCCTGCACTTCACTGCAGAACAAGAATCCCTCTTCTGGAACGCCCCCTCCATGCTGTCCCCTCACAGCTCAGAGAAACACATAAGAATCCTTGCCGTTTGCACAGAGGCCACGAGTCCTAGATTCCCACAGCACTGGTCATCAAGGGCCCGTGGAGATGTGGACATTGTTTTACCTTCTAGGGGGGAAACTCAGACAAATGCAAGATCTGCCAGGATGGAGCAAAGCTCTTCCCCTGTGAAAAATGTCGGAACTTCTTTCATGAGAACTGTCACCTCCCACCTGTGGACACTAAGAGGTTTGTGAGATGGAGATGCAGCCCCCTGTCTCCTTTAGGGACCCTTCCTCCTGCCGTGCACACCCCCCGTGGGGGGTTCCTCCTTGAGTCCCGATGGGGACAGAGTGGGGCCGGATGCACAAGTTCAGCAGTACGATCCTGGGAGCTGCTAAAACATGCCGGCAGCGGGAGGGGAATGTTCTCCTCTCTCGTCTGAGAGGCTGAGGCTGTTGGATGGGTCCCTTGCCTTCATACTGCTGCTGTCCTTTCCAGAACTCTCCAAGCACAGACTCCTAGAAATGCCAGCTGTTTGTGTTCTGCTTTATTCAAAAAGGCAGGAAACATGGACAATGTTCCTCATTTTGCCATGTTCTCAACAAGCTGATCAAGGCTGGAAATGCCCATGGGTTAAGGTCCAGTCTCCGGCACTCAGGCCGCGTGTACAGCAGCTCCTTGTGCTCCCAGCAGCTCAGTCAGGGAGAAGAGAGCTCACCACCCACCCTGACACCACCCTCCACCCAATCACCCCCCATGGCTACCCCCTATGGGAGGAGGGTCATCACATGAGAATCTTGGAGACCCTGGAAGGTGTCCCCTTCACTCCCCGGCTGTGCCTACCTGCCATTCCCGAAAGGGAAACAGGGGCAGCCATAGGGATGGTGTCTGTTTCTTGGCTTTGCCCTTTCTCACTTATATCTGGCATCTCAGGAACGGTTGGCGTTGTACCTCCTGTACAATAGACAGTCTACCAAAAAGCCAGCAGCATTACAGGGAATCTGAGGTCCTGGAGAGACAGATGGAGCCTCAGGAGAAGTTGGTGAGTTGGATTCCAACCCCAAGCCTCCTTTCTGTCGACGTGTGGGAAGTCAGTCGGTCGCAGGATGAGGGGGAGGGTGCACAATGGTGCCTGCTCCTCTGCCCGCCCCTCAGCCACACTGAAACCTCCCCAGGACCACTTTGCAGGGGAAAAAAAAAAAACTCAGCCATGACATGTTCGTGTCCAAAAGCAGTACCAGTTTGGGGACACTTCTGGAGGACTAGAGTGGGCGCGCGTGTATCTGGGCATGGCTACGTGCCCCTTCTCCCCAAGCTGCTTTTCATTCCCAACCTCCTTCTTTTGCAGAAATGTGCATTCCTCCTCTTAAAGTTATATGGCCCTTTAGAGAATGGCATTTTCCTGAAAATTCCTGAAAATGAAAATTATGTGAGTAACAACAGCCAGCCATGATTACAGGCCTTCGTGATATTACCCTGACCTTGACCCCACGGACTCTTGTGGGGTTTATGATGGGAAGCCCCTGGGAGGAGAACATGAGCTGCCTTTACCTTCACCTTGCATTTCTGTTGGATTTGATGGGAAACCACAGAAGGCAGACAGTGAACTGTGTCAGCAAATCTCCTGTCGATATATTTTTCACTAGGTTGAAAAGGCTTCTCAATGCCTAGAGAGACTTAGGATGTTGGACAAAGTCAAGAAGAGTCTAAATGAGGGAGACTACACCAAAGTGGAAGATTTTGTGCAGGCCATGCACACCCTGTTCCAGGACCCCAAGGTAGGTGGTTCTCCCCGTTTCCATTGCATGTTCTTGCCGTGAGTTGCTCTGCTCTCATTTCCTGGTGCGGAGAAATTGTCGTGTCCCTCATCTTTCATGATGAGCCTGTACAAGCAATGGTTCAGGAAGTGAGTGACTTTTTAAACTCAGGACTTAAGCTCACCAGACAAAGTAACAGTGAGCCAAGAGGTGTCCCTGCAACCCAATTTACGTTCCCCAGAGCTCATTCTCTGCAATGGTGACAAGTGCCCATTGAGAACAATGACATCCTCCCTGCTCCAAACCTAAGGAGATTGCATCCTAAAGTCATGTTGTTGGTCTTATCTCTCCCCAAATGTACTCAATCAGACCTCTAAGAAATCCCAAATTGCAGAGTCTTTTGCATGGGAATGGACCACATAGTTAACAGGGGTCACCAGAGGGGAACAGAAGTGACAATGCGAAAGAAAGGTCACTGGTTGTACTTAGACATCTGTGATATTTGATTTCTATTAAGATCTTAGATTAGTTTTGTAACTCTCACTAAAAGAAACAACCCAAACCTCAGAAGTAAGAGTCCTCAAGTGTGATAGTGATTTCCCATTTTCTCTCTAGTCCTCAAAAATTAATCAAGCTCTTAGGAAACAAAAGTTGCCCTTAGCTGCATGTGTTTTTAAACTTAACCTGGTTAATGTAACTTCAGTGTTTCAGACAAGAGTCCTGATCATTTCAGTTGCAAGGCATCATTTCAATTGCTGATGACAGTGATAATGAGTGTCATTATTTCTCTGTTTTTTTTTCCCCAGTGCAACAACTCAGAGCTAACAGAGGAAGAATTTAAGAAGAATTTCAAAGAGGTCTTCACTATTCAGGAAACTAATTAGAACAGTTCACTGGTGTAGTGGGTGCTGTTGGGACCCTGAAAAGTCCCACTTTCAGGCAGATTTCTTATCCCCCTGCTGCGATGAGGGTTGGCTGCCAATGCCACCTTTCCCCAGGGTATTGCCTTGGGCAAGTGGAGCCCTAGCCACCTGAACATTACACCTCTTTGGCCTGGGGGGTTGGTCCCCACCCCCCAAGTTGAACCAACCATGTACAGTGATTGTGTTTCCACGCCCCCAGGGACTCAAGCTAGAGCTATTGTCCAGCTGTGGGCGTGTCCTTGCTTAGCTTCCCCCTCCACGGTATCCCGCTTCCCTTACCCTCCTCCTTCTGAGAGCATTCTCAAAATAAACCACTTATTTAAGAGACTTTATCTCAGACTTTGCTTTTATGGAACCCACCTTAACATAATGGTCTTAGCAAGCCAGCCCTAGGCATGGAGTTCTGAGCTGGATCGCTGCCTAGCCAGATGATTAAAGGCAGAATAGTGATAGTACCTGGGGTGTTCGAGCAGTGCAGCTGCAAAAACATTCACCCGCAGGACATGGAAGGAGGTGTGGGGGAAGAGATATACTGATGCGATTGGCTAGCATTAACAAATGAAGGCATAGTATCTATAAGAACTCTATAATTTGGTGGCTATTTCTAAGCATCACTAATGTATTAAAAAACTGAGTACATGACAGGCATTATGTGTATTAATTACCACCTGCACCTGGAAGGCAACAGTGAGGAAAGCCTGGCACAGGCCTAATTTAATGAATGGCAGAAATTCAGAGAAGGCTGGATCTAAGCTCAGGGTGGCCTCTTGAGTCACAGGCAAGGCCCTGAAAGAGAATGAAACTTCTATCAGTGGGTGTCCAAGCTGCAGCCCGCAGGCCATGTGCAGCCCGGGATGGCTGTGAATGAGGTCCAACACAAAATCGTAAATTTACTTAAAACATTGTGAGGTTTTTTTGTGAGGAAGGAAGGGAGGGAGGGAAGGAGAGAGGGAGGGAAGGAGGGAGGGAGGAAGGGAGGGAGAGAAGGGAAAGAAAGGGAAGGGAAGGGAAGGGAAGGGAAGGGAAGGGAGACATCCTGAAACTCAGAATGGAATTTTCTAGGTAGATGCAGTGAGAACTCTGAACTCTAGATCTTTCTGAACCCACAGGCCTGCAAATCAGTCCTCTGTCCCTGTGGGTAGGCAGACCCCTGCCCTACCCGCCATCTTACCCCAATTAAGACTGTACAGAGTTATCTCAGCATCACAAAACTAGGAATATAAGAGATAAGGCTGCTAGCTGATGAGATAGTTTACCCCAACAGAGCTGCAGGACTGGCCACATGTACCAGCAGGAACTAGGAGATCTGTGTGGGAATGGATCCTGGAAAGACAATGTTAGAACATAGCACTGGTGGGCAGTGGAGGCTGCTGATACAGGCACACTCTCCTGGGCCACAGAGTTCAGTTAGCCTGGCAAGCTCCAAAGTCAGTGATTCTGGGTGGCTCCTAGAGGATCCCTATAAAGCACAGAGCATACCAGATGAAGTGAAAGAAGAAATACCAGACTCGCCAAGTCCGACAAAATGGGGAAGACCCAAAAGCATTAGGAAAATGGCACAGCCTTACTCTCTACAGCAGGAAAACCCATCCAGCAGGTGGCTGCACCCTCAGGAGGCCTCAGAGACACCACCTTAACAGGCATAAGGAACGCCCTGTTAAGGCACCTTCATCCTTGAGGTGCGCAGGCGGGACTGCCCTCTGTGGGCTGAGATAATGTAGGAGTGGTGTGCAGAGCTGGGTTCCCTCGCAGCAAAGGAAATGATAGGACTCCAGAGTAAATGAAGCTATGTGGCCGCACTAAATTGTCAGAGCAATGCGGGTAATCTCCGCAATGAGCAGCAAGCTTAGAATGACGACCAGGACTCTTCATGGTGACACGACTTCTATTTAAGCCTTTTATCCATCTTGAGTTTATTTTTGGGCATGGCCTAAGTTGGTGGTTGAGTTTCATTTTTTTGCATGTAACTTTCCATATCTCCCAACGCCATGTGTTGAAGAGGATATTTTTACTCCATTTTATGCTCCTGACCCCTTTGTCAAATATTAATTGACCAAACACACATGGGTTTATTTCGGGTCTCTCTACTCTGTTCCATTGATGTTTGTGTCTGTTCTTATGCTCATACCAGACTGTTTTGATTACAGTGGCCTTGTAATATAGTTTGACATCAGGTATTGTGATCCCTCCTACTTAGTTCTTCTTTCTCAAAATTGCTGAGGCTATTTGAGGTCAGTTATGGTACCATACAGATTTTTGAAATGTTTGTTCTATATCTGTGAAATATGCTATTGGCATTTTAATACGGATTGTGTTGAATCTATAAATTGCTATGGGTAGTATGGACATCTAGAGGAGAACATAGGCAGGAAAGTCTCAGATATTCCACGCAGCAATATTTTCACCAATATGTCCCCTAGAGCAAGGGACATAAAGGAAAGAATAAACATATGGCACTACATCAAATTAAAAAGCTTCTGCATGGCTAAAGAAAATATCAGCAAATGAAAAGGGAACCAACCGTATGGGAAAACATATTTGCCAATGATACCTCAGGCAAGGATTTGATATCCAAAATATATAAAGACTTCAAATGACTACATGCAAGGAACAAAAATAATCCAGTTAAAAATGTACCAGGGACCTGAACAGACGCTTCTCCAAGGAGGACATACAGAAGCCCCAGAGACATGTGAAAGGATGCTCAGCATCACTAGCCATCAGAGAGATGCCAATTAAAACCACAGGGAGATACCACTTCCCCCCTGTCAGAATGGCCACCATAAACACATCAACAAGAACAAGTGCTGGTGTTCTCTGATTGTCTCCGGTAAACCGGATGGGGTGCTGTCCCTGGGTGGCTTCACAAGGGCCCACGTCAGAGTGCAGGGACTGCGAATAAACCATTAAAACAAAAACCAAATTTAGTAATCATCATTCAACCTCTTCCTTGAGCAAAGAACACATACTCAGGCTTCTCAGCAACAACTTACATGTCTCATCATTATGGGTGGCTTGTAAAGTATTCACTCCAACTGAAATTCTAGAATAAACCATGTTTTTTCTCCAGGCACATCATTTGCTCTTTTATGTAGATTATAAACAAGCCCAGTCTGAGTAGGCATGAGTCTGTGCTCCCGTGAGCACAGAACTACGAAGTGTATCTAGCCTGGTTGCGTCTCTCCTAACAAATATGTGCCTCAGATGCTCTGCACAGCAGCATCTCTCCTGCTTGGTGGGCAGGGGCTCAGGGGCACTGGGCCCACTGGCATCTCCAGAAGCCAGGCAGGGCTGGGCCTGCGAGTGTGCAGGGTGGTCTGCTGCTACCAGGCTGATGGAGAGTTCTGCTTGTAATCCATAGCAGTGAGCCCTTACCCAACCAGCCTCTTGCAGATTACAGCTAGAAACTCTGAGCAATATTCAAAGAACAACAGCCTGAGACTTCTGTAAAGTGAACAAAAGCTGGGGACTCTGAAGGAAGCAGCCAGAGTGAAATGTTTTCTGTTTATTATTGCGTGGTTCTCAGAGGCTGGCATGGGGTGCCTAAAGTCTGGTAGGAAGCCCGCCTTCTCTCTGATTAGCAGGGCCAGGGAAGAAGCCCAGAGCCACCAGGCTTTCTGGCGAGTGGGGGAAATCCCAGAAAGAGAAATCCACAGAGAAGGACCTCAGGTTCTGTGCATAAACCCCTTCCAAGTTTCCGGCACATGCCTGGGACTGACTGAAGGGAGCCTGAACCGGGGTCTGAGCAGCAGAGGAGACGATGTGAAATCTGAAATGGGCCATGTAAACAGTGAGCCGATTCTGCTCAGATTCTTGTGAGATTCCTCAGTTGGCTGCATAGATAGTAAATCGAGTCACAGCCTGGACATAGCAGTTGCTGTGTATTGGTTTAATAGGATTCAAATCCATTGGTTTATTACTGAAGTGAAGTTGTTCTGATCCACTCGTTTATGACAAAGACAAATAAAGTTACTTTGACGTAGGAATGAGGGAAGTCATACCAGGATGCCGTCATTCTGCATCGATTGTCGGTGATAAGCAGTCAGCAGCCCAGTAGCTGAGGGTCCCTTCCGAGCACGTATCAGTAAGAACATGTGGAAAGGCAATTCTGGAGAGGGGACATTGAGACTATTTATGATGCGAGTTTGTGAGGACTCTGAGATTTTCAGTTCCGATGAGGCAACGCTTCACAATCCTAAAAACTCCCCCCAAACCCTTGGGGCATTCTCCATGCACTCTTGGCAGAGAGTCGAGATAAACAGTGCCAGAGAGCCCGTGACCAAGATCAGCCCGCCTACCAACACTGGAGTCTTTGTTTCCCGGCAACACGTTGTAGCAACAGGGGGCTTTTTCCTTTGTGCTGGCTGCTAGACATCAGCTATTTGGTTAGTGGCCAGCTCACCTGAGTGCCTCCTGATACAAAAAGGTACGCCTCATATTAAATTGGAACTTTACTCCTTCATCTCCCCGTGCCTCGAATAGCAGGGTTAATCTGTCATGTGTTTGGAGTATGTTGTTCCTTTATTTTGCTTATTAAAAGATAGGATCCTGTATGCTATTGGCTTGGGAAATTCCCACAGGAAACCTGTGTTAAATAAATTACTGGCAAAGACAGACTCAGCCCCAGGATACTTTCTGCTGCTTCCCCGAAACAAAACAATAAAACAGGGGTTGTGCAGAACAATGTAGTTCATCGGAAACTTGTCAGACTGCCCGCTGGCACGTCTGCTCGGATCTGCTGGTCTGAAATTTTTCATCTGACATGAAACCACTTGTTTCTAAATTCCACTAAAACTAGAATTTCTCGCCTGAAATGTGCATTCATGTGTTCCCCTGAGTCCACAGTGTGAGAGGCAGAGAGCCCACGCTGGTTCATACCAAGCAGTGCATTCTATGTTTATACAGTGGCAACCTCGCCCATACCTTAGCTGGGAACCAGGGTGGGAAGTGCTCAGGGACAGGGCTGGCGGCTCCGCTGAATCCCTTGTCTGACACCTTTAATTGCACTCTGCCAGAGTCGCTGGCGGGGGCGGGCGGGAGGTAGGTAGTACCACATCTCATATCCCCCACCCCCAAGGGTTCAGCCACAGTTGCCTGTGTCTGGATAGGGAGGAAGGTTCAGAACCCCAGTCTCAGGAGCGCAGGTCTTTGCTGTGTAAAGACACGGCGCCAGCTCCTTCCTGTCTTGTCTGGTGTCTGTGACCACTCCTCAGGGTCTCTGAGAATGGTGGCTAGGACCATGGAAGATGCACCCTGCGGGCCTGTGGACCTGTCTGCTCTCAGAAGTTTTGGCCAAGCCTGTGCCACTGCGTGCAGCCGGGAGTGTGTACAG